ATTATATTCACAGTCTAATAGGTATTAGTTAACCATATTTAACCAGTACAGGGTCAAAGTACGGTCTCCTAATGTGACAGAGCTATTCCATCCATTTTTTAATCCATTTATTAGGTTTTACTTGTTCTATTGACAATAGCAACAAAACGAAAACCTTCCAAACTTGCTTTTGTATTTATTTACTTTTCTTAGTTTGAGACGATATTTCTGGTTTATAAAATAAATTCCTTGTCCCATCCCCTGGGCACAAGAGATTATTTATTCAAAATTTCGCCGAAAGTTGCGCTTCTGCATCATTCTGTGTTAATACGATGAAAACTTTTTGTAACTGCTGATTCCACCAACAGCTTTGCCTCCGTTTACAAGTGTTGGTCTGGAAATCGTTCAACACAAATATTAGCAGTTAACTACCAGTTTTAATCAGCGTTTCCATACGTTATCACAAAGTCTACTAATTAATTCTTTCTTATCGTATTGACAGGCTATTTTAGTAGGTTTATTTGCATACACACACCACAGGCACACTGTTCTTTCATAAAAAGAAAAAGGACCTACAAAAATAAATGACGCCACTTAAACATTTGTTCAGTAATTATAATTTTCATAATAAAAGACATAAACAACACAAACAAAAATAAAAAACATTTCCATAATGAAAACTGGTTTGGAACCAATGATTACTTAAAATTGGATCAGCAATTTTTCTGTTTACTGCAAAACGAGACGAAAAGCGAAGACGTCATTTACTGCCACAAATGTTCACCTCTCTTTATGTAGTATGTAACTCGGAGACTATTCCAGAGGTTTTTAATAAATTTTAACAATTTTTATTATTATTAATTTTAAGCCGTTCTGCAGTTTCAAATATTTTGCATATGCATTCCCCCGACCATCCATCCAAATTTGTAAACACCCTGTATATGTTACATTGAAATCGTTAGCAAGGTTTGAATTTCAACAAATAAATTAACATTATTGAATCAATTTATATTAGAAAATCAGCTTTTGTAGAAGAACAGGAATTTAATTATGAATTGAACTATTCACTAATTATTTCCCATTTTTGCAAACGTATATCGCCCTTTTTTCTTTTTGCGCAATTATTCAGTAACTACTGAAAATATTTGAGACTTCCATAAAGCAAATCGGCGCCAGACCGGTCTGGCATCGTTCGGAATGCTTCCAAGTTTGAAGGGGCTGGACTTGACAAACATCATAAGGATAACGACGTTCCAATAAACTTCTTGTTAACGTCAATTTATTCTTCTATTTCTGGAATTTATTTGCGATAAGCATTATTTTTCTGGACTGGCGTTTCACATCTGTCTTGACAAATGACAAGATATTAATTTCCCTTTGCGAGCATGAAAAATAATTGTTTTACTAGCGGGAGAATATTCTCCTAAGCAAGTGAACATTAAGTTAAATATAGATGCCTGAAGCAGAAGATATAGTTTTGCTCATTTTATACAGAATATTTCTGAAATAAGTGCGCTTCTTCATAAGGATCTAAAATGTCATATTTAGAAGACAAAAAAATTGTTAAATCAGACACAAAATTTCTAAATCGGCCCTGTTCTATACAGGGTGTCTCATAATTAGCTGCCAACCCTGAACAGGCCGATTCTATGATCAAAACTAAGTAAAAAAGTTCATATGAACATAGGTCCGGAAATGCTTCCTAAGGGCACAGGGACCCATTGAAGAGAGAGGAATGGAAATCATTTTTTTGCAATATCTCTCAATCGCGTTGTGATAAATGAATGAAATTTGGTATACACAGCTAAATTTTGATGAGCAATTTGATGGACTAATCCATTTATTTCCACAAGGTCCATTGGGGTGGGTACGGGGGGGCCCTTGGTACTTTGCGTGTGTAACTTTTTCATCTTTGACTTTTTAACAAATTGGACAGCAAATTCCGTTTTCCCGAACTGTTTTACGTTAAAAAGGTACTCTTGTTTCAAATCGTTATCTTTAACGGTTTCTGAGAAAATCGCTCTTGAATTAATCCCACTTTGGTCAATTTCATAGTAATTTAAACAAAAAATAATAATAATAATTTAATACGTAATCAGTAATACACATTATTGATGTAGAACAATTATGATATGATGATTTGTTTATGGCTTTTGCGATGGTAATGCTGCGCGGCAGAACGCGAGTACGGCAGAAGGTTTCCAAACAGAAGGCTGACATCAAGGAGGACATTCCTCACTGTATTCCGCAATTTAGCTGCAACCGTCACTTTTCGAAGGGATCATAAGATGGAAACTTAATTTTGATAACAGACAACAAGCTATTTTAAAAACTGTTCAAAAAACCCTCCACCTTCTCTGATACAAAGTCTTGCCCTACGTGTAACACTTCTCGAAGCTATTAAGATGCTAAAACGGTTTTGACGAATTTCATTGGCTGCATCATTGATACGCTGCAGCAATTCCTCACGGGTATCGACTTCGGTGGCGTAAACTTTTTGATTTAGATATCCCCAGAAAAAGAAGTCCAGCGGGGTTAGGTCGGGAGAACGCGGCGGCCAAGCTACCGGTCCGTGCCTCCCTATCCACCGTCCAGCGAAATTTTCGTTTAGGAAATTTAGAACATTGCGACCACTATGTGCCGGGGCTCCATCGTGTTGAAAAAACATGTTACGTCGTAAATTTAGAGGCAGATCATCGAGAATTTGGGGAAGATTTTCTTGAAGTAAGTTTAAATAAAGATTTGAATTGAGACGTTGTGGAATTTCAATAGGTCCAATCAGAGTGTCGTGAATTATTCCCGCCCATAAATTTATGGAAAACCGTTGCTGGAAGTTTGTTCTCCGAACAACATGTGGGTTCTCTTCTTCCCAATAATGAGAATTATGAAAATTTAATTTTCCATTTCGGGTAAAAGTAGCTTCGTCACACCACAAAATTTTGGAAGCTTGCTCGTTGTCCAGCGACAAAATCCAGCGACAAAATTGCATACGTGGCGCAAAATCTTCTGGTATCAAGCCATGTACACGTCGATAGTGATAGGCATGTAGACCTTGTCGCTTTAATATTCTTCCAACCTGAAATGTTAGTAGCACATCTAATCAATTCTGTTAAGGAAATCTTTAAGATATGTAGTACCGTTGGCCGAGGAACATTTATTTGCCTTGAAATGTTCCGTATGCTAGTCGTAGGATCTTGTTCAATAGCGTCAAGGACCTCCGCTTCCCTATTAATCCTGGGACGTCCTTGACCCGGTGCCTTTCGAAAAGTGGCGGTTGCAGCTAAGTTGCGGAATACCGTAGGGAATGTCCTCCTTGATGGCAGCCTTCGGTTTGGAAACCTTCTCCCGTACTCGCGTTCTGCCGCTGCAGCATTACCATCGCAAAAGCCATAAATAAATATCATATCAACTAACTCTTGTCCCGTAAACTCTTCCATTTTTTTCGCTTAGAACTATTAAATTGGCAATCGGGTTGACAATACTTTGACATAAGAATACCTTGATAATTTTGTTTAAATTACTATGAAATTGACCAAAGTGGGATTAATTCAAGAGCGATTTTCTCAGAAACCGTTAAAGATAACGATTTGAAACAAGAGTACCTTTTTAACGTAAAACAGTTCGGGAAAACGGAATTTGCTGTCCAATTTGTTAAAAAGTCAAAGATGAAAAAGTTACACACGCAAAGTACCAAGGGCCCCCCCGTACCCACCCCAATGGACCTTGTGGAAATAAATGGATTAGTCCATCAAATTGCTCATCAAAATTTAGCTGTGTATACCAAATTTCATTCATTTATCACAACGCGATTGAGAGATATTGCAAAAAAATGATTTCCATTCCTCCCTCTTCAATGGGTCCCTGTGCCCTTAGGAAGCATTTCCGGACCCATGTTCATATGAACTTTTTTACTCAGTTTTGATCATAGAATCGGCTTGTTCAGGGTTGGCAGCTAATTATGAGACACCCTGTATAGTCAATGTTCGATTTTCACATTTATGGGTGTTTCAAAAAGATCATCCAATGCACTTGGTGTTAAAAAAAACTTGTAGGCCCGAGTGCCGCTGGCACGAGCCAACGGTCAAGTCGGCAAATGCTATCTTGCTTACCTTTCTCGTATTTATTTAAATAAATAATACGAAAACTACTATTTCATAAAAAATATATTTTTTTATATTTAACTGTGTGTTAACATAACATAGTAGTAGTACTATTGCTACTTATAACCTTATAATATAATTAAGAGTGTACCGAGTAGCTCAGTCGGCATAGTTAAGAAAAGTATTTGTACACACATAAGTGAGCAAAATATTATTTAAGTAGAAAATAGTAAAATAATAAAGGACTGTGGGATCACACTGAAGGAAAAGGGTAAGTTTACGAATATTTACAATTAATTAAAAAGTAGGACAAAGGAAAACAATAAGAAAAGAATGGAAGAAATTAGGCATGGAAAAATGAAGAAAAAGTATTTTGTATTGTCAGGGCAATAGGGTAAGATTCCCATATAAAGTTTTGTGATGTTCACAGAAATTCACAATCATACATTTGTCATAAGCTTCGCACAAAAAGACACATCAGAGGTTCTTCTAACTCCTAACATACACACATATTTTCTAACTTAATCAATCTCTTACTCTTCTGGGAGTAAATTATACTGTCCTTGCATTCTTATAATATTAAAAAATCAGTATCTCTACCGTCTTCGACTTCTATTGTTCATGTTTGGTTGAGGTTGAAAAACGTTTCCATCGTGACCTCTTTAAAAAATGTTACTATTTGTTCTCTGTGGAACTGTCACATACAGGATCGGAAAGTCCCCATGGTTCATCGGCCGTTACGTGATAGCGATAAAGTAAGTCATAGAAATCCGTGCGATAGAGAAAGATGGCTATAATGAAGGCGTCTAATAGTCACCGCCCATTTCGCCCTTCCACAAATAAGAAGTGGATCTTATTTGTGGAATGGGCGGTGACTATTAGACGCTTTCATTATAGCCATCTTTCTCTATCGCACGGATTTCTATGACTCTCTTTATCGCTCTCACGTAACGGCCGATGAACCATGGGGACTTTCCGACCCTGTATAACAGTTCACAGTGCTATAAAAGGAGCGCCTTAATTACGACAACATTTAAAAAAAAGTGGAAATGTGGTAAATATACATATCAAACAAACAGTTAAGTTAAAAATCAGTCTTCTTTCTAGTTTAATATTAATGAAAGTATCTTCCTCTACCTTCTTCCCACAGGGAAAGGCTTAAACGAGGAATGTCCTCTCCTTCACAGCTGACTAGATTGTTTCTGAAAAATAAATTTAATAATGTAATATTTTCTGTAATTGAACATTAAAAACATAAATTGAGTATGTATCGGTTACATGTATACAGTGTGTCCAAAATAAGGATGGGATAGCATTAGTATCTAGGAAACAGTAAGAGATACAGGGTGACTCAAATTAGAAAAAAGTTTGTCGTCAACATTTTTGCAATCCGACCTTTCGTCTCCGAGGGGCCATTATCAGGTTAATTTTTCTAAATACGCCGCTGCTATTTTTACGACAAAATCGAAAGTCATTATTAGATGATATTACTATTGTAATCGCTTCTTAAAAAGGTTTTTAGCTTGTTTAGCTATCATTTAAAATTTTTCCTGAGTACGGCTCCGAACACTTTCAAAATATCTATTTGAGAGAGGCACAGTATAAAAGTCAATACAGCACAAAACATCCAACAATTTTTTTAATCAATAATGTAAAAATGTACCTAATAAAAAAACAATACGAATTTATGAAATGTTTTATTATTTCTAATTAGTATTACTAAACGACACATTGTTAGGTATAAAAAACACAACTTTTTTCTAATTTGAACGACCCTGTATCTCTTACCGTTTCCTAGATCCTAATGCTATCCCATCCTTATCTTGGACACACTGTATATGAACATACGAGGTCTGTTTAGAAAATAACCGAAATTTATTTTTTTTAGCTTTATAATTATTAATTTTATACATTATTGGTCCTTGCTCCTTGCCTCCTTCCAAAATCTTCCCTCTCTTATTCACACACTTTTTCCAGTGGTGTTTCCATTTGGAGAAGACCGAACTTTATTTTTTTTAACTGTATAATTAATTTTAGACATTATTGGTCCTTGCTTCCTTTCAAGATCTTCCCTACCTTATTCACACATTATTTCCAGTGGAATTTCCATTCCTGGGCAGCTTCATTTGAAATGGCCTTTAAAGTCTGTCACGAATTTGCTTTGATGTCAGTGCCATAGTCTGAAAACGGCGTTTTTTCAGAACTGATTTTAATTTCAGAAATAAGGAAAAATCCCAAGGAGCTAGGTCTGGCGAGTGAGGAGGTTGAGAGGGGACAGTAATTTCATTTTTGGCCCAAAATTGACAAATTAACAAAGCTGAGTGTGCGGAAGCGTTATCATGGTGCAACAACCATGAGTTGTCTCGCTACAACTCTAGTCTCTTGCGGATTTATTCACCTAACCGTTGTAAAACGCCTTGATAGTACACACAATTCAGTATTCTACCTTAAGGCAAGAATTCGAAATGCACAATTCCATTAAAGTTAAAAAAAAAACAGTGACTATCATTTTAACATTGGATCGAGACTGACGTGCTTTCTTGGGGCGTGGAGATCCTTTGCCAATCCATTGCGATGATTAAAATTTTGTCTCATTGTCAATATCGTCATTGGATTGTTCAAGGAGTTGCTGATAAACGTCCGCACTATTTTCTTTCTATTCTTCGGTCATCAAACGAATAACAAATTTTGCTGTAACTAGATCCATGTTCAATTTTTCAGTCAAAATTTCATGGCATGACTCTTCTGCAATTTCTCTGATAATGAATTGGTGATTTGTACGCACCAGATTTTTGGCTTTCTGAACGTGGTAGTCATCAGTTGAAGTCGAAGGCCTCCCTGGTCGAGAATCATCTTCAATTAACTGACGACCACTTTTAAATCGTGTAAACAGTTCGTAACATTGCGTACGATGCAGAGCGTCATCGGTTCCAAAAGTTGCAACGTTTCCGTGAAAATTTTTCCGTTTCACGCAAAATTTTACGTTGCATCTTTGTTCCAGAAAATCGCACATTTCCAAAAAAACGCTACTAACACTTAAACATGTTGCGCTCACAAAAACTAAATGAGATATCAACAATCTAAGAACATGTGGTTACAGCATAGGTTATGCGCAACGCAATGCTGCCAACTGCATATCACTAAATACCTCCATTAGCGCGTAATTCAAAAAGTTCAGTTATTTTTTTAACAGACCTCGTACTTTATCAAGTGAATTATTTATTTTTAATTTAACTTTTTAGAAGGACTTTTTGTTATTTGTCAAAAGTTCATATATTTCTCGGTATTAATTGAAATTTTAATTATGAAGATTTCAAATAACTTTCAGGATATCCCAAAATAAATGTAGTTTGTTGTATTTATTTTTATTAATTTTCTCTGAATTTGTAGAAAATAAATAAAAGGAAAAATGTATAAATTGTTATAAACCTTTCTTAAAATTGGAGAATAGTATTATCCTTAAATTTTTCTACTTCGTTATTTAATTTTTGATTCTCCAATTTTCAGGTTCGCTTTTTCATTAACTTTTTTTCATATTCTGAGAAAAGTAATCAAAATAGATGTTCAAGCTCTACCTTTTTGCAAATCAGAAAAGATGATCACACACAAATACTGTAGCAGTCATTACTGTGTTGCTACTGATTACAACCCTGAGCTTAAATTCTTATTAAATAATTTTCCTCACTTTCTATTCGCATGCAAAAAGTTGTGAGACAATAATATCCACCTTACCTCGTATTAACTTTTTCGAAAGCATCGCGTTGCATGGATGTGATATTGTTACCATTATCACAAAAGATCCTAGCCAATGTTACCTTTTTAATTTCGTTTAACTGCGCGACGGAAAAAGGTTTCGGCTGAATTTCATTGGTATAAAAGTAACGGTCTCCTTTTTTTGTGCGCATGAACTGGTCAGCGATGATGCAGGAAAAAGTTGGCCCAAATATAGAACCTTCCTCTACGTTTTCCAATATACCACCCACTATTAGATCTACGTCTTTCGGATTAGAATAAGTCTCTGATAAAATGTTGATATGCTAAAAATTAGAGTAATAGTTAATCGTAATATTAACTAAAGCTACATATTTGTAATGAGGTAAATTACAAATGTTTACATTTCCTTTTCTGATTGAATTAAGTTTTGTATAGAAAGTTTTATTAGTTTCCTATTATACAGGGTGTCAGAGAAATATTCGAAAGAAAATTGACCACAGACTCTTGGGATTAAAATAATGATTGATTTGCCTTATCATCGATTTCCTCAGTTTTTTTTCAAAAATTTTGCAGAAAACCAATAAAAATTGATTGATGATTAAGCAAATTAAACAAATTTAGTGTTAAATGAAGTATGTTCTCACAGGTACCGGGCAAATATTATTAATTTCTTAGGAGTTTGCAAGGAATTATGTGAAATTATAAATTCAATAACAAAATATAATATTCATAATCGTTTTTCAGTACTTTATACGATATTCAGTGACAGTTCATACCACTTTGTATCTTAATTTTGGCGGATTGTGGGAGGTGGCAGTATGATTTTGGAGATAGGTTCAATGTTCATATCGGCTGATAATTTTTTTCAAATAAATGACATTTACAGTCCGTACGATATTTTTTTAGAGAATTCCAAGAAGACATCTGCGCCACTTTCTTGGGATTAACCGCATTCGACACCCGATGTAGAAAGACATTAGCGGCGTGACGTTCACCGTAGCAGCTTGCATTGCATACTGTGTTTTGCAATTACGAAAGCGTGTTTCTTTGTCAGTGTACCATGTTCGGTGTACCAGTACCATCCTGATCCAAATCCGATTGAAATGATATGGGCTCAAGTTAAAAACAACGTAGCAAAGGAAAATTACTTGCAGAACGAAATTGGAGTTGATGTGCTAGTACTCCAATGCGAATTAGAGTTTAAACGTAAAAAAATATTAATAGACATTATGCATTATGCACTTTATGACGGGTACACAGAATGATAATATCAAAAAAGTAACTCGAAAGAAGTGACGCTAAGTTGGCAAATTACAAATAAGTGGCAAAATTACGTGCTTTTTTCACTTTTTTTTTTTACTTTATCATGAACATCTAGACGATCGGAAAACTAGTCATTTTACAGTCAACTACAAAGTAGGACGCGCAAAACAGCGTTATAAACAGGCAGGGTCAGGCAAAAGCCGCTCGGGAATTCGCTCTTTTTGCATTAAATAGAGCTTATTTTTACGGTAATTAAAAAACAGAGCACCTACGCCTCTTTGTTCTCAAGATAACTATTGGACGTATCGGACTGAGATTTTAGAGACAATTAAAGAAATGGTTAAACTTTTATTTTCAAAAAGTTTTACATTGATAGTTCAAGTAATAAACGCGCCAGCAGCAGGAAAAGTTAACATTAATATACGGCCTGCACGCGGCAGGAGCGCCAGGCCCGCGTATGCGCAAGAACGACGCTCTCGTCGCGCGTAAGGTTCTTGACTTGAACGCTTCAAGCAATAAAATGTGCACTAATAATTTTTTTTTAATTTTGAGTTTTTATGATCTAATTCGACTAGAGTATAATAGAAATTTGATTATAACAGCTTCCGATAGTGAAAGTTTTAGTGATGAAGATGATTTCGAAAACTTATCAGGTTAGGAGCTGAAGTATAGGTTGCTTAAATATATGTTTCTTTGTTTATTCCTTTTTTGTACCAGCAAGTTTTTCTATAATTTGTACTCTACGATATTGTAAAATAAAAACACATTTTAATACAAAAAATTTACCTTACTTATATACAGGGTGTTCTGAAAGTCCGTCAGGAAACTCCTGAGGTGATGCTACGGATTAAAATAGTAACATTATGTAATGAACATTGTTTTCGCAGTGTCTTCGCATATTGTTTCTCTTTTCAATAATGCTTAAGTTTCTGTGATGTCTAGCAAGAGAAAAAAGTTATGAACAAAACAAATTTTGAGTTCTAGGTAAAGTGCCCTCTAGCGGCGCATAATGAAACTTTTCTCTGACTGGTCCAATAGAGCTTCATCTACTTAGTAAGTGTGCCAAATGAGAAACTAATCGAACATGAATTAAATAAATTATTTAAATAGAAAAATAAAAAAAATTGAACTTGACAAGCTGTAACTTGCAAACTATTGACAATTCGAAAAAAAAATTTCATTACATACTACTATTATTTCAACCCTGTATATTTTAATATTCTGAAAATAACGCGTAAAATTTCAAAGCATGCCCCTGCTGCTGTAAATTGTTACAGTAGTTCCGATAATAGAACTTTATTGGCTTATTCTTCTCTTGAAATTCTATCTCAACAAATGTTGTACGGACTGTAAGCTACTTCTATAAAGTTTCTCTTCTAAATCAAGATTAAAAATTGGAACATAAACTTTATAAGAATTGTTTTCCTGTCGGTTATTTGAAACAATTTGTCATTTAATATTCAAAGTTTGTTATTTAATTTGTGCACTAACGTCTTCTTTTTTTTTTCTACAGAGATATTGAAAATTGCAATTAGATAGAAAGCTAGATTTAATGAAAAACTTTATTTCGGAAAATAGAACAAGATTAAAAAATATCCATGATAAAGTTGTGTTATGTTTGTGGGCGTTCATTCATTCTCTATACAATTTGTTTTTTAATATAATTTACTCGAAAAACTTACTTTTTCTGGCATAACGTCACTAAAATCGTTAAAATTTTCTGCATTTCGAAGACCACATAACGTACGGTACTGAGTATAACCTGGCAAGCCGTGATCTCTACCACGTTGGATATCCATACTAAGAACATCAAATCCGAAATGCCCATTTGTGTATAGTTTATTAATTAGCTGAAAACAATGTTAATTAACTATAAATACTCACACTTATATTTTACTTACATCTTCTGCAAAGTGCCTATCAATTTTTTGGCTGCTTTGCGTTGCAAGCCCTCTAATAAGAGCATCCAATATACCAGGCTGTTGTATCTTGTTGGGGTTATTGAAATATTTTTGCAAACTAAGTGAACTATTTGCCTCGCGATTTTCGTTGAAGAGCCTAAGAAATAAAAAGTTAGAAACATCGCAATCATTTATTTTACAAAATAAATTTTCTTACTTAATATTTCCATCGTATAAAGATTTCAAGGATCTCATTGTGGCAGTTGCAAAACTATTACTGACCGAGGGATCGATGTTTTCATCAAAAATACTGAAGGCTTCAATGATGCTTCTGTACTTACTAGCTGCAATAAATTTCAAAAATATTACGTGTTTTTCAGAATTGAAACAAAAATATTTTTGGTTTATAGCCGACGAATGAAAATTTTAAATCAGAACTGATAATTTTAACTTTCTATACGAAATTTTGCTTAACAACAATGAGGTTAGAAAAACTATGCCCCATGCTATTATCTGCATTATAACAATCCTTTGGAACTAAACTGATCAAATTTTGATTGAGGTTTGCTGGGCTTTTAAACACTGGAAATATCTCCAAAATTGAGACGATAGAAAGTTACGATCTTCGCGTTGTATTCACAACTTATCCAAAAAAATTGGGAATAGATGTGTCATGAAAAATGGAGTGAACATCGTAAAAAAATTTTTGTAAAGTCCTTATAGTTTCCGAGTAAAAAATTATTGAAGTTGTAGTATTTCCAACCTTTACATCGTTGGGCTACTGTAGTCTAGAGCGGCTTTCACCCACGTGGCTCCAGGCGATTCCGAATACTGACATCGGATTTTAGTATTATCGTTGTTGCGATTGTGTTTACATTAGTTTTTCAAGTAAGCAATGTTTTACGTGTATAGCAACTCGGAGTTGATGGATATCGTTTTAATTTATGGTGAAGTACGACAACATTTGTGTTATGGTGAAGCAAGACAACATTTGTGTTAGTTCGTAGAAACTGGGTAAGACGGGCCCAAATGTGTTTACATGTCGGTGGACAAAATTTTGAACTGTTCTTGTCAATGTCAAATTATTTTAGTAATAAAAAACCACAAATAAATTTTATTAATTAATAATAACAATAGCGGCAAAAGCAGTTGAATTTGCTGATATAAAAAGGTTTTATTTATTCTTTCCTTATATAAAATCATATTATTCTTTTGCCACCAGATGTACAAATTAATGTTTCATAAATATAATTTAGACATATTGTAGCCCATTTGCTATAAGTTTCAGGAGATGTACAATGACAGACAATTAAGTACTGTTTGAGAAAAACCAAAAAATAATAAACTATACCAAAGTTTTTAAAAAAATATATAGCAGCACTTTGTACTGAAAATTAATTTTGAGATAGTCTTGGCCAACTTTTCAAGGCAAAGCGAAACAAGTTAATTTAACAATTTCTATAAAAACTCTAAACACATCTCATTGTACAATATGATGCATTTTAATTTCATGCAATTTCTGATAAAAATACGTAATAACCAATAATAGAAGGAGATAATTAAAATCATATAATTTCGCCTGCTGCGACTCACTCAAAGAAATTGGAACGATGCACTGGGAACTTGGAATATACAGGGTGGCCCAAAATTACCGAAGGGGTTTTAATTCCTTATAACTTTTTTTATTATAATATTTTTTTTATTTCTTTTCAGTATTTTGTAAAGAAGACTTGGGGAATTTAAAATGGAACAGTACACAATTGAACAACGTGCTCAAATCGTTGAACTTTATTTCTCAAATCAACGGTCCATTGTTTTGACTCAGCGTGCATATCGTCGTTATTTTAATGTGCGTGTTGGACCCTCAGAGTCAACAATAAACCGTCTGGTTGCAAATTTTCGACAACAAGGGGCAGCAAGGAACCTTCCTGGTGCCGGCAGACGACGAACGGTGCACACGGATGACAATATTGAACGGGTACAGGAGAGTATTCGGGAAGATGGAGAAACATCAACCAGGAGACGTTCGACACAACTTGGCCTCTCACGAGGGTCGCTGCAGAGAATTTTGCATACAATAAGAATGTTTCCATACAAAATTCAGCTTGTCCAAGAAATAAAATCGACAGATTACCAGCAACGACTTGATTATGCAATTTATTTCCGGCAAAAAGCAGAAGAAAATCATGATTTTATTCATAATTTAATTATGAGCGACGAAGCCCATTTCCAATTAAATGGGTTCGTTAATAGGCAAAATTGCAGGATATGGGCTACGGAAAATCCAAGAGTAGTTCAACAGCGACAATTACACCCACTTAAGTGTACTGTTTGGTGCGGTATTTCGTCGGAAAGGATAATTGGCCCATATTTTTTTGAAAATGAACACGGTGTCGCCGTTTCCATCACTGGTGTTCGATATCGGACAATGTTACAAAAATTTTTTAAGGCCAGCCGTGGAAAACCATCCGCAAGTATGGTTCCAACAGGATGGAGCCACAGCGCACACTGCGAGGGACACAATGGCTCTTTTACGCGACACCTTTGGTGAACGAATTATTTCGCGTACCAGCGATTTTAATTGGCTTCCGCGTTCACCGGATTTAACCGCTCCAGATTTTTTTCCTTTGGGGTTATTTGAAAGGAAAAGTCTATATTAATAAGCCTAGAACCATCCAGCAATTAAAAAACAATATACGTGACGAAATCAACAACATAACACCTGAAGTTTTGCGAAAGGTTATGGAAAATGTTTTGGAAAGAGCACGAATATGCGAAGCAGAAAATGGCCACCACTTGCGAGATATAATTTTTCATAATTAAATTAAAAATATTCTCCATTAATATACTGTATTTAAAAAAAAAAAAAATTATAATTATGTCTTAAATAAAAAGTTATAATTAACTCAAACCCCTTCGGTAATTTTGGGCCACCCGGTACATACATTAAACAAACCAGGTGTTCAAATAGCTAAATAGAAAAAAAAGTAAATGAAGCATAAACCATTGGCGACAGCAATACAGGAAACAGAATGGATAGGATAGTGAAATTAATGAAAATAGATAATTTATAGTCAACTTTGCTACTAGTAAAAATATGTTTCTATCATCGAAATATTCATAATATGATTTGGATGTCACCAAATGGAGGTATAAGTAACCAATAAAACCAAGTTGCATCTAGATAATGGACGTTAGGTTAAGAAGATGAGCTGGTTGTGGGTCAGATCATTAAGAAATTAAATTTAGATGCAGAATGTCCATGGAAAACGAAAATCGACAAAAAGGAGTATAATTGGATATTGAAAAACTGAAGATACCGGAAGTAAGAAACGAAAAATCATACAGAAAATAAGGAAGCCTAAGAAAATCATTGAAGGGCAATCGAAACAAAAATTGAAGAAACAACAGAAACAACAGGAGGTAATAAAAATCGTAATAAAAGAGCAGTTTTATGAAAAACGTAAAAAAACTAACGTATGTACGTACCGTATGAACGTAACGTATGAAAAACGTAAAACAACGTAAAAATACAATAACTGCATAGAAACAGGAACACAATTTGAAGATGTCAAAAGGAAAGCAGATACAGCATACGCAGGAACAAAAAAGAAAAATTACGAAAACAACGTAATTAGTAAAATGGAGGAAAGGAGAAAAAAAGTAAGAAAAGAACAACTTGGGGCGAGGAACAAAGAAAAAACTGATAGAAGGAATAAAAAATGCAAAAACTACACAGAAAGAAGAATTACACATCCTCACAAAAAAAGGTCGTGATCTGGATGATTGACCATGGTATTCTTATGTATTTTTTTACGCTGAATCTCAATCCAAGGTATACGAATTTGACTTCGGATTCGGATAGAGCGGCCAAAAATACATAGGAATACCATGATCAGCCATCCAGATTACGACGTTTTTTTTTGTGGGGCTATGTTAGAGACAGAAAGAACGTAATTTGAAGCAGAAGCAAATCAGATACACTGTGAAGAAACAAAAGGAGAAAATACGAAAACGATCTGATCGAAAATCGAAGATTTTAAAGAGGATGATCTAAAAAGCGATATAAATATTTGAAAACCATCAAAGAGGATTATGAATCTCGAACTAGTCTTTTCAAAAATGGGATAAAGAAAGAGAAAGATGTTTCCAAACCCTATTTGGGAATTTGGAAAAAATTTCTTTAAAAACAATTAAAGTTACATAAGCTTTTCCTTTTACATTTTGTTCTACATGAGGCTACCAAATTCTAGAGAATTAAGTGGTACATAAAAAACACTAATTAACTAAATAATTATACAGAGCGTAAGTGGCTCCATCTATCGTGCTACTTCCCACCTACGCCATTCACCATGGCTACAACTCATCTCGTCTCATCTATGACATACTGATGAGGACCAATAAGTCCGAAACCGGTCTTTGCTGTTGTATTAGGTGTTGCGAGTATAATCCAATGTTGGTCGGGGCATGTAGTTGTTTCTCGCAACACTGGTAATTTAAAACTAAATAATTATCGCTCTTTTTGGAGCACTATTAAGAAATAAGTTTATAAGGATAAGTTTGACATTACAGAGGATTTAGAAAATAATATTAATCAAAAGTTAGTTATAAATGGAAAGAATTATTTATTTATTTAATATTGTTATTTTAATTTGTTTCTTCTTTGCCCACATACATTTTGTTGTTAATACGTTTAATAAATGCATTAAATATCGCACATAATCATTTATCGAAATATAAGTACTGAAAAAAACTTACATAGAATTTTTTTGATCCATTCATTGTAAGTAATGTGTTGCATTTCTGCTATTACTATCCTCCTAGTCTCTTGAAAAAGTATGTCGTCCTCCCAATGACTATTTATATTTGCCAACTCTTCCGCAATCCTATTATGTTCTCTGAACCAAATTGTATGCATGGCGGTAAGTTGCGGTTGAAAATTAACTCGCGAATCACCAGATTTGTAGCAAAATGATTTGGATGAATTCACTTGGCAGTCTTCCATAGGGTTTTGCGACATTGGGAGATAGTTTTCGTCACTCATTTCAAGTTTTCCGCTAATAAATGATCTCAAAGAGTTGGATTTTCTGTACGTAGAGCCATATATTTGAGAACCATCAAGAAAGTGAGTGGCTTGATTTACCTTGAAGAGCAAAAAAATATATTTATTCTATTTAAACAGTTTGACCAAGATAGATATAAGAATTGGAAACTGATTATATTGACTATTACTCTAACTATATTACAGTGAATCAAATGTTAATTTTTAATTTATTTTGGATGGGTCACATAATTATACAAAATTCGAGTCTACTGGAGTTTTATCGCTAGAAAAATCACATATGGTATTATCATCCGTTTCTGGAAATCATAGCTGAATTTTGAATTATTACTAAAACTTACAGTTTATATGAAATATCGTCGAAACAATTGATTATTTTCTCGAAATTTGTTTTCCCAAAAAAAAAACAAAACTGCTCACTTATTTTCATTTATTTTTCACATAAGCTTACGCTCGTGATTTTGCTGGGAACCTGTCTCTTATGGTTATGCTAATTTCGACCTAATAAAACAAAATAAACAATATACAATTCTAAACTCATTTGTAAGTTACCATAGCACGTAAGTAAACAATACATTTAAATCAGACAACATAATTACTGTCGCTACATCACAGGAACTGTGGTTTATACTTTATTTTAAAGATATTAAGTTAATTCAAATGAATTAAAAATATATTAGAACAAAATTGTATAAGTTTCTACCTAAAATTGCATTTGATAGTATAGGAAGGTATATCAAGCTTGTACCTACTTGAATTCAAAACTTTCTGCATAAGTAAGTTTTTCTGAGAAAAGGGACAGCCTATACAGGGTGTCCCGAAATTAATGCAACAATAATTGGTCACAGATTCTTAAGACAAATTTAGGGTTACAGCCCCCTGAAATCCGCCCCTATGAACAATCTTTCTTTTTCGGAGTTACAGCCCCCTAAAATCTACCCCTGAGAAGTCTTTTTTATATCTCAAAACCATGTTGTACGAGAATCACTAAATTTGGTACACAGGGGTTTTATGACATGTGTAATCTCACAGTGCTACGCTTTTTGGCGAGGAAACGCCTTAAGACAAATTTTCGTGGGCCCCTTTGTCTTTGGAGCCAAAAAAATTTGCTCGCATATTTAAATTTCTTTAAAATTATTAGTTCACTAGAAAGAAATTAAATTTAGAAACTCTTTTGGTACGTGATACTTTTTTCGTAAAATGCTATGTTTTCGAGAAAAATGTCAAAATGTGATCGAATGCATATCGTGATTCGCCATTTTCCTCAAAAACATTGCGTTTTACGAAAAAAATATCAAGACAAAAAAGTTTCTAAATTCAATGGCTTTCTAACTAATTTATAATTTTTAAGAAATTCAAATTTGTGAAATTTTTTTTGGTTCTAAAGACCAACGGGGCCAACGAAAAAGTGTTTTAAGGGGGATCCCCGCCAAAAAGGATAGCACTATCACATTCCACATGTCATAAAACCCCTTTGTATCAAATTTAGTGATTCTCGTACAACAGGGTTCCGAGATATAAAAAAGACTATTAGCAAAAATGCGGGTCCCCTAAATTTGTCTTAAGAATCTATGACCAATCTATTTTGTTGCATTAATTTCAGGACACCCTGTATACTGATTTTCACTAATCTTAACTACCTACTTGTTTCTAACAATACTACAACCTTAGTAGGAGTTCTATTATAATTTGATGCATATTATTCACGCAAAATCTGTTATTTACACGTAACTATTACCACTCTTTTTTTCCGCAATTATCATATTGCACTTATACAGGATTAATCAAAATTATTTAAATCCCCAAAAATCTCAGCATTTTTAGGATAAATGATGAGGACAAAAGTCTCAGCATTTTTCACGGCACATCCGATGGTAACCTTGACCTTGATGTCAAGGTCAAGGTTCAAGGCCATATCAAGATCAAGTCGGCTTTTTTAACAGTGACCCTCGTTTTCGACACCGGAAATGGAAAGAGCAGAAAATTCTGCATGTGAACATGACATTGATTGTGACCTCAAGATCAATAGTCAAGGTCAGTTCAAGGTCAAATGCTGATTTTTACTGAAATTTTTTATTTTTAACTGCGGAATCAGAGGGAGTGGCAGTCTTTGAGTAGATACCTGATGGTATTCCTTAGTGACCTTGATCTTGAGGCCAAAGTCGAAAGAACATGTCACGGTCATTTCAGTTTTTTGGGGTAGCGACCCCTTATTTCGACGCTAGAAATAAGAGAGCGTTGAATTCTACATGTTATTATGATCTTAAACGTGACCTTAAGGTCAATGGTCAAGGTCAGGTAGAGGTTAAGTTATTATTCCGGTAGTTATTTTTTATTTTCAATGATGGCATAGACGGGACTCACAACTTTAGTGACCTTTAGTGATCTTTATATGACCTTGAACCTTGACCTTCTCCTCAAGGTCAAGGTTAGCATCGCATGCGCCAGACGCTGAGACTTTTATCCTCACCATTTATGCCAAAAATGCTTTCCCGCTGAGATATTTTGGGGTTTCCATACTCTTGACTAATCTTGTAAGCGGAGATATCAAGGAAATTCGAATCGAAATAAGTCAAAGTATAAAAATCAATTTTTCCACTAGACAAAAATATTTATTTAGATAGTAAGTACAACAGGAAAGCATTAAAATCGGGAGATCAGTAACTGATGTGAGACACCATAAATTTGATTAGTACTACAATGTTTTTTTTCTTTGCTGTTAATATTGATAATCCAAATTATGTCAAAGATTTGAAGATAGTATGTAAATAATTAGACTGCAGTATAAGACCATCAGCTTTCAGAAATTTCTAGATTGTATTTTGTATAAGCAGGAATTGTTCAGAAATTTTTTATTCTAGTTGGAGAACGTCCTTCAATTACAATTTTCTTATTTTATGTAAAAAAATTACTGAAGATTAATCGAATTTTCAAGAAGTTGTCATAGGAACTTGTATGGTTCTATCTTAATCGCCCGGGTATTAATCTTAACTCTGATATTTTTATCTTGTTTATAAAAATCTTATTTGAACTTAGTTCACAGATTACTTAATTTTAAGACGCGTTCTTGTTATGGTCTGCTCTTAGCCCTAGAAAGCAAAGCGATAGAAACGTTCAAGGTCAGGCTTACGACTATTATTATTTCAGCACCTTCAGCATCCTCAGCAATTTCGCTTGAGCACCTAGAGCTCTTAGGATTCGGCACCTACGATATATTACACACGAAAACTAACCTGGTCACTGGGTCCAAAGCTGCAATCAGATCTCAAAGCAGGAATCGACCTCACATAATTCATGCAGTCTAAACTTTTCTTGGTATAGCGCTTATTATCCTTTGTCGATGCATAAACTGGAGAACAGAACGGATGGATGTATCTTGGAGATAAATTCTTACCTTGCGCGCTGCAGCATTCTATCGGTTTTTCTGTATGAACTATATAAAAGAAAAGTTTTTAATGTATGTTGATCGAAAAATTGAATTTAAAAAAAAACAACTAAAGAGAAATACATACTCATAACAGCTGTAGCTGGTCTGCTCAAGTCATGTTCCAAAAATTGACCCCATTGCATTACGGCTAATGTCAGATGTTCATCAAGCTTTTCCACATGGTCGACAACTGACAAACTAATTGATCTAGGACTTGGAAGAAGATTCCTGTTGACAGCTCTGCGAGGCTCATGTATACCGTCCAAATAATCGGGATATAATAGTCTACGTTAAAATAATATAAATTAATAATAATTAATTCAATAATCTGTGCAGGCAGAAGGTAATTGATATTTAGGATCCAAGAGTATTTGAAATTATCCGAAAATCAAGGAAAAATCATTATTTACGTTAGTTTTACACCAACAAGGGCTGTTTTCGGCGTACAGGATACCACAAAATGAGGTAACCATCATTCGAAATACTACACATTTTGCTTGAAACATTTTTATCGAGTTAGGGCATAGGGGAAAATTTTTCTGACTTCATACTCGGACTTAAAATTTAGCGCTCTATGGATTTCTGGCATAAAAATAGTGTATTCTATTTAATATTTTCAAGCTGACCTCGATTTGCCCTTGAAATTTAAGGTTAATTTCATTTTACCCGTCAATTATTTCCGAAGAAGGGTCATTTCGTGAAAATAAACCTTCTCATAAGTTGTTGGGTTTGTTGGAGGTCACCTTGATTGGATTTGACGTTGACAAATATTCTCAAGGTCATTTGAAGATCAACTTATTTTTTTTTAATAGAAACGTCTATTTTCACCTCAGAAATTAAAAGAGCGCAAAATTTTACATCTGAATACATTTTTGTAAAAGTGACCTTTGAAGAACATCCCAAGGTCAATTTTACATCTCATTCATAATTCAAAAGAATAATGTTAAGAACGGTTAAGAGTTACTTTGCTGTTTCAGAGGTAGTGAACTTATGACTATTGATTTGACCTTTACTATTTTCAAGGTCATTTTGAATGTCAACTCATTTATTGTAAGAGAAACGACTATTTTTACTTCAGAAATGAAAATAAAGGAGTATGTTTGCGTTAGAATGCATAGTCTGGTTTGGTGGTGAAACTGACCTTTGAAGATCATTCCAAGGTTGATTCTGCATCTCTTTTCTAAGTAGTAGTAAAGAATAATAAAGAAACTTCAAAATCTGCTAAAAGTAGAGGTTACAATTTAAAAAACAGAGTTGACCCCAAACAGATATTGAACTTTCTTTATTATTCTTCAGTATTTCGACTTACAAAAGAGATGCAGAGTCTACCTTGGCATGATCCTCAAAGGTCACTTTCACCAAAAACTAAACTATTTATTTTGACAAAAAATTTTAATTTATTTTCATTTCTGAAGTAAAAATAGTCGTTTCTGTTACAAAAAATGAGTTGCCATTCAAAATGACCTTGAAAAAAGGTCAAGATCAATTCCAGGGTCATAAGTTCACAACTTCTGAAGTAGATGATTCTAGCCAGAATCACTCTTAACAATTCGTTATTCTTTTGAATTATGAATGAGTTTTAAAATTGACCTTGGGGTGATCTTCAAAGATCATTTTCACCAAAAACCAAACTGCATATGTGTTCAGACGTAACATTTTAAGTTTTTTCATTTCTGAAATAAACGTTTCTTTTAAAAAATAAGTTGACCTTCAAATAACCTTGAAAACAAGGATCAAAGTCAAATCCAAAGTCATCACAAGGTGACCCCCAACAAACCGAACAACTTTTGTTAAGGTATATTAATTGTCAATTAAATGATAATGAAGATTTATGAGATACTGCGATTTTTCACAATATTTTAAACTGTAATTTTTATTTAATTAGATCCCTTGTGCCAAAAGGATCAGTGCAAGGACCTTATAAATTTAGTTTTGCCTAATTTTTTTAAATTTCGCTACACTGTAACACCATTACAGATAATAACACAGAGAATAACAAACACACACTAAATGCATATTAATTTAATCACACTTACTACCTTGTAAACCCAGTAAATGACTCTCCCATTTTGCCGTTTGAGATGTGGTTGCAGGATCCATCTATGGAGCGATATGGAGAAAGGTACTCTTCGTGAGAACAACGTTTTTCCATGCGCGTACATGAAGAGTTTAATGGTGTTCCTGAGAATTTGAAGCTAGTAAGATATCTGGCACAGGCATGGTGGTTTAAGTTATGTCTGAAAATAAAACCATAAAGAATAAATTCAAAAGTAAAATATAATATTCAAGGTGAGATGAGTGAACGAAAGAACATCTTAATTTTTCGACAAAAAAATGTTATGTACGTATGTAGATGATATTTTTCATACAATAAAAGAAAGTAAGAATATTCCTTCGTTTCGAATGTAACTTTGTTATTTTTGAAAATATGGAAAAAGCAAAACGTGGGTTATTCGCTATTTTTTTCACGAAAAAATCATTTCCCTTGTCAAAAAAACAATGGAGTTTCGTATTCCAGAGGTACCAACTCTTTTTTCTTACGGAATATTCTGTGTATTTTATTTTAATTTTTTTTAGATACATTTATTTGTAATTATACCTAATTTAATTTTCATTTAACACTAGCATCTCATTTTTCAAAATTCGTAATTCTGTAATTTTAAGCAAAAAGAAAATTTTGCGAGAAATGACTAATGCTTAATTGTATTTATTTGTTTTTTATGAAAAAATTGGCCTTTAATTTTAACTCTGTTTACATGGGTATTTTGCTATCTGTAAAGAATTCATGAAACAAACTTTTGAGCCAAAAATATTAGTAAAAAGTTACTTTCAGAAAATTGTTTATGACTAAACAAAAGTCCCGCACTGGAAAAATAGACAAATAAAAAATAAAATACACACCACTAAAAACTTTTCAAAGCGAATATTTCACTATAAATTTATATTCGACTGTTAGGAATACTTAACCAATGATATACCTGATATGATAACAAAAAATAATAACTTAAAATTTATTTTGCCTCTCCTTAACATTTTACTTATTGTACTTATTCCCTTCCATACGAGTGCCTACAATTTTAGTGAAAATCAGTCTTTTTTCATTATCAAAATTTGCAACATTAGACAAGAAATGTGGTTACAACTTGATGGAGCTTTTCCCCATTTCGAAAGGTAAGTCAGTCAGTCATTATTAGAGCAGCGTTTTGTATAAGGTTGTCCTTGTTAGTATATGTCTGAAAATAATAAACAACAGTTGTTTTTATATAATAAGTATAGTATAATAATATATGTACTATGCAATACCTAGTAGTAAATTAAATCTTATAATTAGTTGCAGAATAGTTGCATGAATGTTAAAATGTACGCGCCTTATAAATAAATCAAAGACATATTAAGTGTAACGAGACATAATTTAACAACTGAACATACATAGAAATGTCTACTCATAATGAGAGTTTCATGACTGTGGTAACAATTATTGTTAATTTACTACATGACAACGGCAGTTTTTTTGTTGCGTTAACGTAAAAATAGATCTAAATCTAAAGATTATAGGATAACAACTTACCTACCTAGTTATTTTGAACGCAGTTTTTAGAAAATTGATAAGTTAATTTGTATCTAATACAAACAGTCTCATTACATGATATAGCTGTGATACATGTTTACGCAGTTATTGATAATTGTTTACTTAGTATGTTAACAAGTACGACTGTGTAATACAAATCATTTTATTACCTCTATTAATAGCTAATGTAAAAAATCAATATTATTTATACTTGATACAATTTATTTCAGCAATTCATAAATATAATCATTTACGTATATATATAGTCTTCTATTTGTAACGTTCTATTAAAAAAAAACCTTTGTCAATGACTTTCCTGACTTTTCCTATTTCGCTTAGAGTTGCCCAACCAAGTTGTTGACTAGCTTACGCCCGCTCTTTATGATGGCCCGCTATTATATTTCAAAACTAAAAATTAGAGGTGGGAGCGTTAAAATTGTATTTTGTACGTACAATACCCATCTCTTTCAATTGAAAACAATTTTTATACGATGCTGCTCTTTTGTCACTGATATCAATTATGCTCTTGATTATTTTATATGGGTCACTTTAAAAGACAACAGACTCTAGTGACCACAACAGGGGAACTTAAAGAAATAATTATAGAGAATTGTAACACTATTGGATAGAACCGTGCGATAAATAGAGCGACAGTGAATTATTGCATGGGCAGCGTTTTGAACAACTTTTCTGACTTCTATATTCTTTGTTACAAAAAATGATTTTTTTTATATGGTAGGCATTGATGGACGTAGATGATACTTTTGTAATTCGACTATTTTACTATTTTTACTCTTTACTAATGAATTAGCAATTAAACTTAGATATAGAAAAAAAACAATAGTAAAGAAAAAGAAGAGAAGAAGATTAAATGTTTGTATTTAGGGTCAAATTGATTTCTGCAAAAAGTGATTTTTTACAAATAAACAACCAATACCGTGAGAATTTTGTTAATAGAATTTTTACGAACATAGAAAATAAAACAAATTTCGGATCCTTTTTGCTACAATTATCGAAAAATGAAAATAAATAAATACAATGTCATAATCTCCACCTACGGAAGTAGATAAACAAATAAACCTATCAAACCTGTTTGAAATAGAAACTTTGTTTATGACTTTAAAAACGAAAACAGACTAATTTTCGAAACCGATGCATATTTTATTTTGTGAGATTTTCGGTGAGGCAAAATTAGTTATTAAAAATATTTGCTTGATCCTTTCAGGTAAGAAACAACCAGGCTAAATTTCGATTTTTTCGTTCAATTTGAATTTTTGACAAAAAATCAAGGCTGTAGCTGTCACATGTCACGTACATAACGTTGATATGCACTAAATTTTTACAGAAAATTATGAATCGATCCAATAAGAATTTTGATATAACGTGGAACGTATTTTCCTAATCTGTATTACATTTACTTCCAAAGATAGAACATATCACTATCTCGACCGTACTATCACGTGAGCTTACATGATATGCGAAAATTGTGAGCATATCATTTTATACATATTTCTGATACATATTCGTATAATTAGACAGGCTTCTAACGGAGACGAACCAATCGGAAATGGTGCCTAGCTGAAACAAGTTGTACCCCTTTGTAAATTATCTAAATATAAAATAAACAGATACAACTAAATACTCCATACAACAGTCATAAATCTTACAAAATATATTTTTTCGAAAACTGTCATTAAAACTTTTACGTGATATTTATTAAACATCAAAACAACAGTTTTTTTGTTTATAAAACGTGAAGGTCTTTTACAGTGGCCTACAAAAATCAATGAAACCATAGATGCATATTTCTGATTAATGATTGGAAAAGTGATTCTCTACTATTGTGCAAATAACTGTGGTTATTAAATTATATTACTGTCACAACTAAACATGCTACTGTACACGGTGGTGCAGATGCTGTCACAAGTAAACATGTTACCACACTATACTAGCACAATGACTTATGACGCGGACTTAAAATTATATTTACGATTTATGGCATCGGAACACTTCGCTTTTGTTCGTGACGCAAATGGGCGGAGAAAAAGAGAGAGTTCGCTTATCACAATAAACGAACCTTCTATTTTTCCCCGCCCATTTGCGTCACGAACAAAGACGAAGTGTTCCGATGGCATACATCGTAAACATAATTTTAATTCCATGTCATAAATCAATGCGCTGGTAAAGTGCATACGTCGTGATTTCTTTTATGAGTGTGTAGTTTTGAATATTGTGGAAAACAATTCTAATGGGGTGCGTCCTTTACTAAGATATGCCTCTCCTTGTTGCATGATTTGTTTTTTGGTACATTATACGTATATGTTAATGATTTCATATTGTTTATTTCAAATAAACCATATGTGCATTAATCATTATATATTTTTCGCAAATAGACCTTTTGACTTTGTGATGTACTTACATAAATATATAGAAGAGTTATGTTGAATTACATTTTATTTTAAGATTAATGAACTACAATTTTAAGCTTCCGGAAACATTTTCTTCACTATAATCTTTGGATGCAAATCCATATGGCGTTAAGAAAATGGGTGTTTCCTTAATCAAAAAATCAAACTACTTGTAAGTGTCATTATGGCATGCAATATGTAGTCTGTTGAAGCTTAAATGTGTACTTGGATAACTTTTCTTGTGACATATGCTCAAAATGGGGTTGACATATATTCAAAAGGGGATTTATTTAAAAAATAACTATTACCTAATTAAAAATATCACATTATAATTTATGTGAAACATATAATCTGCACAATATTTAGGTAGAATTACAAGAAAAGTATGTCAATAAAGTTCTGTTATCGGAACTATTGTAATAATTTACCGCGGTAGTCGAATGCGGTTAATTCCAGGAAAGTGGCGCAGAGGTCTTCTTGGAATTCTATCGCAACAAATATCGTACATATGACAAATAGTTTACCAATACAACTTTTAAAAGAAAAATTTGCTTTTGCGCCAAACGCGCCAATAAATTAATATTCACTGTAGGTATAATATATTTACTTTTTGGAATTGAATCATTGTTTTATTATTATTATTAATATTATTATTGTATGTTGTACGTTGAGCAGTAGATCATGTTAATTATTTCTTCTTATTTGATGTTTATCAGAACAAGAGTTTCGTATATGATGGCAATGTTTCTTAAATATACAGGGTAATCACAACTTATCCAAAAAAAATCTGGGAATAGCAAAAAAAATGTAAAATCCTTATAGTTCCATTTCTGGGCTCCTGTAGCCTCTAGCGTCATTCGCTCAAGTGGCCCCAGGCGATTCCGAATACTGAAATCCGATTTTAGTGTTATCGTTGTTGCGATAGTGTTTACATTAGTTTTTCAAGTGTTAAAAATGACTTACGCGTATAGCAACTCGGAGTTGATGGATATCGTTTTAATTTATGGTGAAGCAAGACAACATTTGTGTCAGTTCGTAGAACCTGGGATAAGTTCTGAATCACCCTGTATACAGAATCATAGATGACGAAAAGGATTGACCATATTATAAGCAATAAATGTCTTTTAGTTTAAAATAAAGAAATCTTACTTGTTACAGAAGGAATTTAACAGTTGGACACTAGCCTTCATTGCTACTAAAGCATCCCTTCCTAACTTTATCGCTTCTCGTTCCGGTGAAAATGATATAAACATTCCATGAGACGGCGTCCCTGTTTTCACCCTAATGTCAGACCATCCAAGACTTGTTTCTAGTCTTTTCATATTATTTAGTACGGAATTTGCAAAGACTACAGAGTTATTAAGATCCTTTTCAGTAATTTTAATTCCCAAATCAATGACAGGAAGGTTGGAATATTTGGATTCTATATAGCTGTTTCCAAATCCTACAATAATTAAAATTATGTTATCAGATGTCACTGGGTGATTAAATAGTCCATCTTAAAGTGTTGTGAATAGTGTCAATATCTAACGTATCTGTAGAAAATTTGCGAGGATACAAAAAAATTAAATAAAATTTGGGAGACGTGGTGTTAAATGGGATGAGGTAAGCTCCATTTTCAATAGAAAGTATCGTCTTTGGGATTTGACAGAAACGAATAATAACGTCATCAAGTTAAAAAGCTGCCTTTTATCTAATAAACTTTTATTTTCTGTACTACTTCCCGTTTAAAAGTTATAAGCAATATGGTCCTAAAAGTCTCAATAGAAATACCACCTAAAAATCACATTAGTGGTGGAAGGATCAAGTAGTCAATGGAAAATAATTGAATGTTCGTTGTTTAAAGTGCATACATGTCATTAAGAATAAATAAAAGGATTAAACGAGATAATTCTTTAATACAGTTTAAACAAAAGGTGATGATAACAATAACTAAACTTAAAAAATGAGGCAAACATACTACATACATATTACAATCCATTCTCTATATGACTTCCTCTCATTTCAAGACACATATCCAATCCTCGCCTGACTTCTTTGTGGGTTGCGTTTATTAACATTTCGCCGTTTAACTCATTACAAGCGTTTGTGATTTTTTCTTGCAAATGATTAATATCACGCGAAGGTGTTTTGTAAACCTTATTTTATAACCCCCCCCCCCATAAAAAAATCGAGGGGTGTTAGATCTGGTGGCTTTCCGGGCCACTGAATAGGTCCATTAAGCCCAATCCATTTTTCTGGGAAAGTATTATCTAAATATTGCTGCACAATCCTGGCCTTGTGGGGTGGAGCCCAGTCGTGCTGAAACCACAGGTTTCTCCTTAGCTGCAAAGGCACATTCTCCAGAAGTGCAGGCAGTTCTTCATGTAGGAAATTTAGGTAACTCACGCTGTTCAATGTATGTTCATAAAAATAAGGTCCAATTAAATTCCTACCGATGATGCCACACCAAACATTTACTCCAAAATGGCCTTGGTTTTGGCCTGGATTTACAATATGGGGATTTTCAATGGACCAGTAGCGTTCGCTGCGCCTGTTTGGCAAACCGTTACTCACAAACCGACTTTCGTCCGTCCAAAGAACGTGCCAAAAAAGGTTCTAATCAACAGTTTCTACATTTACTACAATTTGAGCTATAAAATTAAGTCTGTTTTCAATGTGACGCTCAGGCAAATACTCCAAATTGTGAATTTTGTAGTCAATGGTCTTTAAAATTCGTTAAACGGCTGATTTATCCAAATTTAATTCTCAGCTATCCTGCCGTATAGAATTTCGTTAATTTTGTTCGAAATACTTTAATTAGCTGTATTAACATTGTTTCGTACCCTTTGATCAAATATTTGATTTTTCCGAACAAAAAATGCATCTTCATTTCGTCGCAAGGTCGCTTCCAATCTTGTAAAGGTTCTATGATTAGGAATGAGGCGCTCTGGATACTTTCCTCCATATAACACTACAGCTCTTCTTGATTTTTTTTTGTAATTCGCCGTAAATTAGCAACATATTAACTCTTTCTGAACGAGAAAATATTTTGTAAGCACAAGAGTTATACATGGTGTTTCTTAATAACGTGCTAATATTTAAGGAGGTTATTCTTGGGTCCATTTTAAGAAAAAAACTTCATATAAACATATGTCCTAAAAGTCTTAACTTTTGAACTACAGGGTGCTAAAGTTTTATGAAAAAACTTTTTTTATGATAATTTTGGTATTACCCTAGATATTTTTTCAAATTTGGTACACGCCTTCTATGCATCGAGATGCATTTTTTGATGTACAAACAATTTTTTTATTTTTGCCAGTGGCGTCTGTACAGGTTTTGTATTGAATACTTTTGAAGAAAAATATTTTATGCCAGGGTAATTTTTCCTTTTGTCATTCCAAAATGTATCTATGTAGATTACTGTAATTTCATAATTTCAGTGTTTAAAAGTTATTATCTTAAATAAATTATTGTTCAAAGTTATACATTTTTTTTTCTCGTAAGTGGTCCAATAAGATGCAAAAGAATGAATTTTATTTTTTTATGCGAAAACCGTACGTCAACCGAAAAAAATTGAAGACACCACATTTGCTCAGAAAGGAATGAGGATTTCAAAAATGATTTTTACTAAAAGAAAAAGTAGTGGCGTAACATATTTTTCTTCAAAAATATTCGATACAAAATCTGTACAGACGCCACTGACTAAAATAATAAAATTGTGTGTACATCATAAAATGCATTTCCATGAATAGAAGGCGTGTACCAAATTTGAAAAAATATCTAGTGTAGGTAATACCAAAGTTATAAAAAAAAATGTTTTTTCATAAAACTTAAGCACCCTGTAGTTCAAAAGCTAAAACTTTTAGGACATATGTTCATATGAAGTTTTTTTCTTAAATTGGACCCAAGAATAACTTCCTTAAATATTAGCACGTTATTAAGAAACACCCTGTAGATACGTTTGACGTTCGTATTGAGTAATGACAAGTATTTTGTGACATTTATGCACTTTAAACCACGAACATTCAATTATTTTCCAATGACTACTTGATCCTTCTACCGCTAATGTGATTTTTAGGTGGTATTTCTTTTGAGACTCTTTAGGACGATAACTTTTAAACGGGGAGTAATACAGAAAATTTTCACTAATAAAAGTTTATTAGAAAAAAGAGAGCTTTTTAACAGCAAAAAAATTTGGATATGTTTCTGGAAAAAAATATAATTGATGGCGTCATTAGTCGCTTCTGTCAAATCCCAAAGATAATACTTTCGATTGAAAATGCAGCTTACCTCATCCCATTTAACACCACATGTCCCAAATTTTATTTAAATTTTTTGAATCCTCATGTAGGCCCATACTATCGAGATTGAGACACCCTGTACTATTATCTTCAAAAAACTGACCACTTAAAGTTCCATTGTGTATAGGGTGTTTTGAAAAACGGTGCCATACGTTCAGGAACTGATAGAACATAAAAAATAGATTTTCCTTCAGACTTACTGTCTTAATCACTTCTTCTCCAAAAACTGTATTATACTGAAATTTGGTAAGTAAGTTTTTGAGGATGCTCAATATTATTCTTAATTTGATCGATTATCTCCTAAAGAAACATGTCCTTGTTTCTAATACAACCGCTGAAGCTTTCCAAGTAGCCGCAAACTGCTCCAGTACATCAGCCAAAGCAGACGATATCCAAAGCTTTGCGATGTTGTTGTAGGCAAGAAGATTGTTACGGGACGTCCAAAAAAAGTAACTCGGTTTAGAGTTTTTCCAAGAAACACCAGGAATGCCAGGAAATTCGAGCTACGACGAAGGATCATAAATTGAAGATTTCAACCAGATCCCGCAACAGGTCGAGGGACCCCGAAGATAACCCAAACTTAAAGAGGCCAGATATTAGAAACCGTACCGCACAGTCATATTGTACATCCAATATTGCAATAATTAGGGTAAACTTATTTTTTTTTATATGTTGTTAGGATCCATTTGAGTAATTTAATTCCAATTTTGCAACCCGAAAAAGTTGTGCCAGCTGAGATATAGCCGAAAAACGGTGAAATATTTGGACTTTTTTTATTTTTTTGCCAAAATGGCAATAAACGAAACTTCTGACAAAAAAATCATTCTTATCTTTTCTAAAGTAGATAAAATTTGCTGCAATTTGAGCTCTACCGGAGCTCGTTAGTTCTGGTAGTTCCTGAGATACAGTTGTGCAAATATATGAAAAAACAAATTTAATAACTTTTTTTAAACAAAAAGACAGTTATTAGGTGAATACTTGTATTACGTATTTATTTTATAGTTAATTTAAAATTTTGACAACTTGGAGGGCCCTGGCTCATTTAAATAATTGTCAGGTTCAATATAGACAGAGGTGGATATTATGTCATCAGGCTCGTTTTTCTCATCCTGCAGTAACTCGTCCTCATCTTCAAACACCTCAATTGGAGGGATATTGGTGCACGAGTTGCCCTCGCAATATTTGCACAGCAGTGAACATTTAATTCCAGCTTTCCTGCAAGAGCAGGCCTCCAAACATCCCTTCTGGCATTTACAGGACAGGCCTTTTAAAAGTAATTGAGTGGCGGGTGGTTCTGTGGTAGTAATGGGGATGAGACTTTGTTCAGTTACTTTCCATCCCCAGTCCGATGGTAATTTGACTTTTCCCAGCCACTGCTGCACTTGGTGGTATGCTCGATAGAAATTATATTTTGCAGCATCTTTAGTGGGTGGTAGACGAGCTAAATTAATTTTTGAACGTGCAGAAGCCCTCAGGAACAGTGTGTAACGCACGGAGTTCAGGGTGTCTCCGCTTTCGCCTTCGTATAGCGCCACCAGAAAATTCTCTTCTGCTTTCTCTATTGCATCAGAGTCTGCATCAGGCTGCAAGAACACTCCAAGATCGTGTATGAGTTTTGTGTTTTGCTGGAGAACACTACAAAATTTAATTTTTCCTTGCCAAAAAAGTGCAGACGTATTATCGCAGCCACTGAGGGCGTGGAGTATAAGTACAATGCCTCTTGGAATGTCCTGTACATCGCCACACTTAAATGAGCTATAGGAAAATTGATAATTGTCTGATCCACCTCTGCCAGCCTTATGTAAGTATACATTCTCTGCAGTGGATCCTAATCCATTGAGAATAACAAGCAAGTCAACATCCTCCCCGACAATGAAAACTTGAGCGAAATGAGGGCTTTTTGAGAGAACAGTCTTCACAATTAGGGTATCTGCGTCTTCTTCTGCTTGATAGACTTCAATTCCGTGCCTCTCGAATTCAGTCTTCAACATATGATATAATGTAACTATTTCACAATAAAGATTTGGTAACAATTACAGTGGAACTTTATACAATTTTTCCTTAAAGTGGATACTGTCTTTTTTGGTTCCCAGTCATTTTTGGACACATTATTTTTCTTATAACACCGTTTTAAACTTAACAGACTAAATTGTTAAATTTA